TTGGTGTATATAGAGTATAAAAAATCTATGTGTACAGGAAACTGTGGACCATTAGTATTAACTCTGTGTACTCAGTTTTTCATAATCAGCTCTTATGCCCCTGTAAAAGGACCTTAAAGTTTAAAGGACATACAATTTCAAAAGATGAAATTCCAAATTTATATAAAAAATTTGATATTAATATTAATATCAACTGAAGCTGAGATCCTCTGCTTCAAAATAATGTTATATATTTCAATTCATCAGGATTAAAAAAGAGATGGAAGCTTAAAGAAAATTTGTTCCAAAAAAAAGAGTTAAAAATGTTTCGAAAATGAGATCTTTTTTAAATTTAATTTCATTTTCGATTTTTTGTCTAAGTGATTCAAATAAATAAAATGGATAGAAGTTACAGATTGACAGCTTTCATTTGATACCAATATTAGCATCATACAATACATACACTGAAAATAATCCATGCCTAATATACACGAAAAATGTCGTACATTGTACGAAATGCTTCGTGGTTTCGCACCACGAAATTCTTTCGTAATATATACGAAATTGTACGAAATATTTTAGTAAAATGCAAAATAATTTTTATAAATTTAAAAAAAAAATTTTTGTTCATTTTACGATTTTTTAAAAAACATAAATATGTTAGTTCTTTTAAAATAATCATTGTAAATTTAAAAAAAGATTGCGAATTAAAAAAAAAACAAATTTTTTATGTTTTTTAAAAAAACATAAAAAATTTTACAGAAAATTAGGCTAATTTCCTGTAAAAAAAAAAAAAAAATTCGTAACAAAATAATTTTTTTTGTAAAATCAAAAATAATTCTTGTATATTACTAAATAATTTTGTTACGAAAAAAATTCGTTACTTTCTTTAAATATTACATGACTTAATGAAATTATTTTTGTAAAAGAAAACAAAGTTTCTTAATATACACGAAAAAAGATATTACGACAGGTTTTCGTACTTTCGTAAAATTAGAAAAGGGGTTGATTAAACAATATTTCGTATTATACACAAAATTTTCGTATATATTACGAAAAAAATAGTTACGAAATTTTTTTTCGTAAAGTTAAGCATAGATTATTTTCAGTGTATCAATATTTAAAATATTCGTTTGAAATTGTAAGTCCTTTAAACTTTAAAGTCCTTTCATAAGGACATAAGAGCTGATTATAAAAAACGGAGTATGTAGAATTGCTCTAAATGGACTCTAGTTTCAAATGCATATCATATCTTATATCAGCTTTTCCATGTGTGAAAGCTTTTTTTCAAAATTGTTACAGGGAGTAATAACTGTATCTTTTCTATTTTAATATTAATTCTTTTTCTATATTTTCTCAATTATTCTCATCTTTCTAGTCTTTCTTCAATTTTATTATATATTTACATATTGTTAGTCTAAGCAATCGTATATAGCAAAACCATAGCTGTAAAATAATGATTAATAATCGTAATCATTATTAATTAGATTATTTTTATTAAATAGGAAAAATTAATGATTAATTAACAATTATTTTAATTTTTTTTTAATTAATTATTGATTACGATTAAAAATAATCTAAAAATAATCAGAGATTAATTGGAATTAATGAAAATAATCAAAAAAAATCAAAATTAATCAAAAAATTAGTTGATTATTTTCAAGGATTAATTTTGATTATTTTCCATATATTTAGTATAATTTACTCCCAAAAAAAAAAACTCTAAGAAAAATTTTATTATTTTTCCGGCAATCCGCTAAAAATTACGGATTTTTTGAGACCCATTTCGAAAAGATTGCAGTAATTTTTTTCTAATATCTTGTACTGAGATCAAGATTTTTAATCGAAATAAACTTGATAAATATATTGTTTTCAATAAAACAGTCATATAATCGAATAGTGTGTAACTTGAAAAACAGTTTTCTATTACACGTAATGTAAAAAGATAGAAAATTGTACCAAATATATTGAAATTAATCAAAAATAATCAAAATTAATCCTTGAAAATAATCAAATTAATTATTTGATTAATTCTGATTATTTTTGATTATTTTCATTAATTTTAATTAATCCTGATTATTTTTAGATTAATTTTAATCGTAATCAATTAATAATCAGAAATTTTATACCGGAGAATTAAATAATCATTACGATTATTTTTGAAAAATAATTTAATTGATTATTAATCGTAATCGAAATTTTACAGCTATGAGCAAAACTAATAGGCTCTACTGTAAACCAATAATATAAAAAGTTTACTTACCATAGTATAACGAATTTCAGCTAACCGTTGATGAACCAAGTGACTGTGAGGATTGTGCAATAAGACTTCTTCCATGCAGAAGGCAGCTTTAACGTAATCGCCCTCTGCCAAGTACAAACTGCACAATTCCTGCCATGCTTCTTGATCAGACATAAACCTAATATAATTATAGTTTCAGTTATTTGTTATTAATATTTTAATCGATTATTAAGCTTACTTCTTTAAATATTCATTTAATTCCTTAATGGAATCTACACGACGACCTTTGGCTTTAAGTATGGCAATTTTACGTTTTCTGGGTGCTGCATTTGTTTCATCTTTGGCAATTATTGCATCTAGTACCTCAATAGCTTCCGAATAACGTTCCATGGCCTCAAGGCGCATAGCTTTGAATTTCATTACTCTCATACTTCCTGGAAATTCTGTACTTAATTCCTTAATACATTTGCCCGCAATGTCAAAACGGGCCGTGTTTAATGCCGCCAGAATAACCTGTTCCAGAATTAGATGCCGTTCGTTGCCAGTCTTTGTTACTTTATCATCAAGTACAGCCTCCCATAATTGAATAACATCATCACTGCGACGTTCATTATCTTCCCTCCACTTGCGGAAATGATCACGTACATCTGAAAGTTACAAAATTACTTAATTTAAATCGGAGTGTATTAATGAACATTTTCTCATTCATCTTTGGCATCCGGTAAATAATTTAAACAATTATAGTTCGTGTTTTCCAAGGGGTAAATATAGAAAATGCATTTTTCCACTTGTCATTGACCCGCATTAGCAAATACGTAGGCCACCGTGTGTCATGTTTTCTTACCTCTCCAGCTCATCTCCTCATAATTTAAGGCCATTTTGTTTTATTTAACTTTTCTACGCTTAAAGGATTTATTATTCCTTAAATTGTATCTGCAATTTATTATATTCCTTACAATAAATAACAAAAAATCACTGTGACGAAAAGAACACGACAGAAAAATAGATTTTTTTCTTCACAGATGGCTGTCAAATTATTAAAAAACAGAGTTGCTCTTTTATATGTTCTAAATTAAATACAGAGTTGTACTTGTCGGTATTGTGGAATAAATACAAAGTAATCGGGTTTTTAAAGTAACCAAAAAAATTTATTATTGTTACACCCCGTTCACACGAAACATTTATTCGTCATTCAAACCAATTACGAACTGAGTTATTCCCGATGCACATGATGCAATTATTCGTCATTCAACCCCCAATTACAAACTGAATTACATGATTGGCCATACAAAATTTCAGCTGCAAATTACATAAGCTGTATTCAGTTTGAAGTGCCATCTCTAATTTTTATCGGGCATTTATCATAATCAGCTGTATTTTGTATCATACACATACATGTATTCCAAAAAAATAACAAAATAATGTATGAAAAACCGGCGATGAATTGTCAAAACGAATAACGAATGTGTCGTGGAAACAGCTATTGTAATTCAGAGGCAGAATTAAGTAATTCAACTGTCCGTGTGAACTTGGTATTTCAAGATTCGCCTTACAAAATTTCTGCTGCGAATTACACAAGCTGTACATTATTCAGTTTGAATTATCTACGAATTACGAATGAATGAGTGTCACTTTTAATTTTTAGCGGGTATTTATCATAATTATCTATTTGTTTTCATTTGTTGGATACAAATCAAAAATAAAATTAAGAATAAATAGAAAATACATATTACTTAATTTCTTTAAATAATGTAGCAAACGTATTTTTGTATCATACATACAATAACAAAAACAAAATAATGAATTAAAAAACAACATATCGATGAACTGTCAAAACAAATTACGAATATGTCGTGAAAATGGGTTAATTGGCAATTGTAATTCAGAGGCTTAATTATGTAATTCAACGGTTCGTGTGAACATAGCATTAATTTTGGTTGAATTCAATCTGTTACAAATTGAATTCAAATGAATTTCAACCATTCATATTGATTTTTAAATTCCGTCTGAATGATAAAAATTTAGTTTGAATTCAAATATTGCAATAACACCTGACTACAATTACAAAATCTTTCTTTAATTCAATTTGTAATAGAAGGAATTTAACAAATGATCATTCAATCAGAAATTCCAATAAATGCATATATGGAGACACCTGATGACAATGCATATTAAAATACATTTTACATTAATACATGTATGTAATATATGTAACTAGCTATACCCATTGTGCTTTGCTATCCTTAAAGCAATATATATAAACACCACTTAACGATAATGATGATTCTAACTATAACAGTTTTCCAGATATACAATTTTTTACATATGTACACGTTACTTAATATTTTAATGTAATCTATATGTCATATGGGAGATTGCAAGCCCCCCAATCAATAATCGCCTGTTTTTTTCTAAATGTTAACATGGATGTCAAAGATCTTCATGTAAAATTTTAAAAGTACAAAAAGTCTTCTTTGTTATTGTAAAAGCAAAAATTTTAAAACACGAATTGAATTACATTCGATTTTTCATACGTAAAGTCATATGTAAAGTCGCATATCTAAAATCACTTTAAGAGTTTCAAAGTTAAAAAATTTAAAATTATTTTTAGAAAACGCGAATGTTCAAACAATTTAAAAACCAAAACTATGTTTAAAACTTAAAAATTTATTGAAGTATTCAAAAATTAATTAAATTTTTTATGAAAAATAAATATTCTAATAGATTATCCATCCCCGGTGATTCAGAAAATCAACTCTAATCTCAACTGCGACCAACTTCATTATATTTATGTTTTCCCGCCAAGCGGACTGTTTGCAGATTGTGTTTTTAGGAATTTTGTTTTCTGTCGAGTATTTCTTGCAATCGAGTTGCAATTATTATAATACGCTTGAAGCGTTAACTTCTCTGGCAGATATTGTTAAGTTTAAAAACAATATTCTTTTATAAAGTGATTAAAAAGTGCTAAAAAAATTCACATCAAATGGCAGATGCTGAGCAATACATAAAAGACATACAGAGAGAGTATGTTGATTTCTTGGATGATGAAGAGGATCAGGGTATATATTCGGGTCATGTTAAGGATATGATAGCAGAAAAAAGCAGACGTCTCATTGTTAACATTAATGACTTGAAGCGTAAAAATCCCCAACGTGCTTTGGGATTGCTGGGCAACGCATCCGATGAGCAACTGGCGTTTGGTAGGGCTCTTAAGGAATATGTATCTACAGTTGATCCATCATATGCTAAACAACATGAAGACTTTTTCGTGGGATTTGAGGGATGTTTTGGTAATCGTCATGTGACGCCACGTTCTCTCACCTCCATGTAAGTAGAAAAAAAATAAAAAGATAAAATTTATAGTGATACAACTATATTTTCAGATATTTAGGCAATATGGTTTGTGTAGAAGGTATTGTTACCAAAGTTTCTCTCATTCATCCCAAAATTGTACGTTCGGTACACTTTTGTCCTGCTACGCGTAAAGTAATGGAACGGAAATATACCGATTTGACTTCATTTGAAGCCGTTCCATCGAGTGCAGCTTATCCCACAAAAGATGAAGATGGTAATTTATTAGAAACCGAGTTCGGTTTGTCCGTATATAAAGATCATCAGTCTTTGACTATACAAGAAATGCCGGAAAAAGCGCCAGCTGGACAGTTACCACGTTCAGTGGATATAGTATGTGATGATGATCTGGTTGATCGATGCAAGCCTGGTGATCGTGTACAGATTGTGGGTAATTATCGTTGCATGCCAGGCAAGCAAGGTGGATATACTTCTGGCACGTTTCGCACAGTACTATTGGCAAACAACATTTCACTGTTGAGTAAGGAAAGCAATATGGACATCAGTCGTGAAGATATCATCTTGTGCAAGAAACTTGCCAAAAACAATGATATATTCGAGTTGCTTTCAAAGAGTTTGGCGCCGTCGATACATGGTCATGCTTTTGTAAAACAAGCCATTCTTTGCCTTCTTCTAGGAGGTGTAGAGAAACTTCTTCCCAATGGTACACGTTTGCGTGGCGATATAAATGTTTTGCTTATTGGCGATCCTAGTGTCGCAAAGTCTCAACTCTTGCGTTACGTGTTGAATACGGCACCTCGAGCAATTCCAACTACTGGTCGTGGATCCAGTGGTGTTGGTCTTACTGCAGCCGTGACTACAGATCAGGAAACGGGAGAACGACGCTTAGAGGCTGGTGCTATGGTATTAGCTGATCGTGGTGTTGTGTGCATTGACGAATTTGATAAAATGAGTGATATTGATAGAACAGCTATTCACGAGGTGATGGAACAGGGCCGCGTTACAATTTCAAAGGCTGGAATTCATGCATCATTAAATGCTCGTTGTTCTGTGTTAGCTGCAGCCAATCCAGTTTATGGTCGCTATGATCAATACAAAACTCCTATGGAGAATATTGGCCTTCAAGATTCTTTGCTGTCTCGTTTTGATTTGCTTTTTGTAATGTTAGATGTCATTGACAGCGATATTGACCAAATGATATCTGATCATGTAGTTCGCATGCACCGCTACCGTAATCCCAAAGAAGCTGATGGAGAACCTCTCTCAATGGGAAGTTCTTACGCAGATTCACTATCTTTCTCATCGAATAGCGAAGAAAAGAAAGAAACCGAGGTCTATGAAAAGTACGATGCTTTACTTCATGGCAAATCACGAAAACGACATGAAAAAATTCTTTCTGTAGAATTTATGAGAAAGTACATTCATATTGCTAAATGCATGAAGCCTAAACTAAGCGAACAGGCCTGCGAGGCCATATCGAATGAATATTCACGTCTGCGATCGCAGGAAAGTGTACAGAATGATGTGGCTCGCACTCAGCCCGTTACAGCTCGTACTTTGGAAACTTTAATTCGTTTGGCCACGGCACATGCCAGAGCTCGCATGTCCAAGACTGTCACTGTTGATGACGCTCAGGCCGCTATAGAATTAGTACAGTTTGCCTACTTCAAAAAGGTCTTGGAAAAAGAAAAGGGTCAAAAACGCCGTAGAGATGGTGGTTCTTCAGATGAAGAAGTAGTTACCGAAGAAAATGGTACTCAGAAATCACCATCACGTCGTAGCAAACGTACACGTACAGACGTTAGCCAAGATACTACTAATATGGGAGGAGAGACCGATGATGAAATTGAGACACCACAGCCTGATGCTGGCGATTTAACACGTCGTGATACTCGAAGATCGTTACCCGCACGAAAACCATCGACTTCCAATGTCACATCTCAATCCGAGTCACAAACCTCGCTAGATACATCATCTGTTGGTGCTGTCCCTTCTGCACCGGCCTCTATAACAGATACCCGTCTAGGAGTTTTCAAAAATAATCTTCACCGTTTATTCCGAGAAGCCAGGGAACAGAGTTTGTCTTTGGCACGCATTACTACCGCAATCAATGAGAATAATGCAGAACAGTTCACTGACGGCGAAATAGAAGCAGCTGTTAATCGTATGACAGATGACAACCAAATAATGGTCGCCGATGGAATTGTTTTCTTAATCTAAAGCACCGAAAAAAGACATATTTTTTTTATTAAACCATTAACACATATTAATTTACAAAATTTTCACGTTATTTGTTACATTTTTCCAAGAAGATATGCATTTTTCGCATTTTTATACATTAAATAAAAAATAAATTACATAATTTTAAATGCGTCTACATTTCGAGATTTTGGGGTCTGTTTAAAAATACATCAATGCACTGAATCTGATGATTAGTTTGCAATGCAAAATCAAGTGATGCTCATTTTACGAGAACAATTTCAAAACCTTTTTTGAAAAAAAATATTCAGCATTATTTGTTAAATGTAGCTTAAACTAATTTTGGGCATATTTTTAAATTTGTTTGTTTCTTTCAATATAAAATTTCTATCAGAGTTGGGGGTAGTGCACTAAATTATTAGTTAAATCAATATTTAACTAGCACTAAATATTACTTCAAAAAATATATTTTTCACTAATTTTCAGGAGCTTGGTGGTAGTGAAGCTTATATTATTAGTACGTTGAAAATGTGGATTTTTATTGCTTTAATAATAAAGCATTTAAGTTTTTTTGTCTTAATTTCGAAATATTTTAATAATTTGTTCACAAAAAAGAGATTTTCTGAAAGGGGGTTTTACTGGTTTAAGGGTAAATATTGGCCTGTTCTTATAAATGTTGGTAGGTAGTGTGATTTAAGTTTACTTTAATGTTATTTATGCAAATGAGAGCCAATCATCAAATGAAGCCCAATTTTTAAGAATATTGTCAGTAATATTAAGACTTATTATGATGGACCGAATTCAACCATTTTCATTTTAATAGGCCAAGAGAAAAGTTACTTGACCAATATTTGTGGATGTTATAAACATCAGCACAAACACATAATGTATAATGTGTATAATAAGGATATAATTAAACTTATATACAACGTTATTTGGGTCAATGCTTCATAAATATGTACATATATAAAATTTTAAGTAATATAAAATATATTTAAAAAAAATACGTATTTCCGAAATTTCAAAAAAGTACAAAAGAACACATAATTAACAGTTTTAGAATTCCCTTTTTCCATTCTCCCCCCTATAGCTGCGTTTTCGAAAAAAACATATCGCCATCTTATATTCAAAGAGTGATCTTGGGACATAGTGAGTTTTTGATGTCAAAGGAATCCACAATCTGGCATAAATTTGAAACCCAAACAGTAATTTTTTCGCTTTTAGCAAACATTTTTGTTAATAATATGCTATCTCAAAGTTTAATTTTTATTGACTTCCATACAAATTTTACAATAATTTTTAAAACATCAAGATGAAAATACAGAACACAAAACTAGTTAAGATTAAGAAATTGTATGTAAAGTTTTAAAGATATGACCATTTATATACACATGTATAGTTTTAAAGATATGACCATTTATATACACATGTACGTGTATATTAGGCTTCGTTTCAAAAAACTAAATATTTCCCGTTTTTTGTAATATCAAAACATTTTGGACGGTTTTTGTATCAGTGATCACTATGCTCTAATATATTTTTTTTAATTCTAATTCCTTCCTCTGCATATCTGATTTTGAGCGACATTTTTTACAGAGCAGAAACTGCAGGATTTATAGGAAATTATGCTTTAATAATTGATTTTATATATATTTCACACTTTCATAATGCTTAAAAAGTGCATTTAGTATTATCCAAAGATGCACTTTTTTCAAAAAATATTTAAAAAACATTTTTTCTTTGCGCATAACACAGTGAGACAAAATAAACGAAAATTGTAATACCTGGGAAGTGATACAATTTTCCAGAAAGCTGGATCCGAGTAGAACATGAATAATTTTTTGAAATTTGCCAAGCACCTATAAAATCATGAGATACTGGTAAAAACCGTGTTTTCGTACTTTTAATTTAGAAAGAAAAAGCTTAGACTTTTCCAAGTTTGGAGATGTTTTTACAACATATTTTATATGGGAACCTTATTAATTACACAGGCCAACGATGAAGTGTTATTTCGTGTGCTGATTCTGAATATGGAAAAATCGTATTACCCACCAATTTTTTTTTGGATGATAGATGGTGTATATAAGTTTGTCATTCCGTGTGTAACACCAAGAAATATTCATCTGAGACCCAACAAAGTATATATTCTGGGTCCTTATGAAATTCTGAGTCGATTTAACTAAGTCCGTCTGTCTGGTTAAAACACGCTCACGTTAAAACTAAGCAAAAGAAATTAACAAAATTCACTAAAAATATTAATTGTAATCCTAAGCAGTTTGGTATTGAAAATCAGCAAAATCGGTTCACGACATAAAAAGTTATGAGTAAAAATTTCAGACTACCTCGAAAAAAATTACGTTTTTTCTTGAGTAGTTTTCTCAGAAACTACCAAAGATAATTCGATGAGTTTTGTCATACGTTAGTTTTTTAACCAAAGAATCAATTAAGTTATAAATCTTAATAATCGATCCAATATTTCCCATAGCCCCCATACAAAGGAAATTCGTCTGTCGTTAATAACATACGTGTACATATAAATCATTCTAGAAAATTTTTTTCGGATCGGTCCATTATTGGTCATAGCTCATATATAAGGGCCACTTCCAAAAATCACTTAAACGCACATATTTAATTGTCAAATAAAGCTATCTTTATAAATTTTTTCCGGATAGGACCATAATTGGTCATAGCTCCCATCAGGCGCGGATCCACGGGGGGTTAAAAGGGAAATAAACACCATTTTTAAATTAAATATTTTTTATATTGAATATTGAATTTTTTATATTATTAAAATATATTTAATTATTTTTTCATACTTTATCGGCGCAACGATTGGGCATCTCTTTTTTTGACGTTGCGTAGCTGTCAGTCGCAGTTCGTCGCAAAGTTATACCCTGTGGCAAAGTATTGTATGTGTTTGGACCTTTATGTTTTTTGACGTAAGTTATTGGAAATTTGTGAGTAAAACACCCAATTTACACGATGATTTTTTTTTCATGTTTGCCCAGACGTCTGTTTTCATGTTTGTCGATGATTGGTGGTGAGCGGGGTAGAGAAGAATGGGGGGTAAGAAAACAAACATGATTTGGGATTTTCATGATTGTTTTTGACATTCCTCTTTAAACTCATTCGTACTGTTGATATTATGCTCATGTAAAAAAATAATTATGTCTTTTTTTACATGAAAACATTAAAATTTGCATTAAAAAAATACTATAGCGTGTTATTAATTTTTTTTAAATCAAATTAAATGGTTTTTATGTTAAAAACTTCATTTTAGTTTTATTACGAATAAGTAATTAAAAAGGATTATACAATTAAACATCAAAAAAAGACATGCATAGTTGCATGTAAAAAATCGCCGTATAAATGTTCATGATTTTTTAGAAGATTCTCAAAAGAGAATTGGAAAAAACAGACGTCTGAAAAGTCTTCATGTAAATTGCGCCAAAGTGTTTCTGTAAGAAAATTTTGTGAGAAGTTTCTCACATGAACTGTCAAAAAACTCACATTTTAAAACGGTGCGGAAAGTGAAATTTTAAGTAAAAAAAATTAATTTAAACATGAATTCTATGAAATAATGAAAAAGTAATGTTATATTTATCATTAATTAAGATTAAAATAAATATTGTTCACTTATTTTTAGAAGATAGGAGGAATTTCAGATATACAGAAGCAAATGCTAAAAAAGTACGTGGGCGTAAACTTAGAATTTGCCAAGGGCGAATTTAGTGGGATAATTTTTCGAACAATTTTCATTTAATTTCTATATTTTTTGTTTATTTATTCTTCGTTTATAAATTTGTTCGGCAATTTTTGTTTTCTTCTTTTAATTTTTATGTTTTTGACAGCTGTTTTATTGGAAATTTTCAATAAAAACGTAATTCGTGAAGCCTCTTCTCACTTTAAGTTACAGAAACACTTTTTACTCACAAATCGAGAAACGATGAAATTTTTTGATTCACACTTCTCGATGTGAGAACTTCTCACTAAAAGTTACAGAAACAGTTCTGTAACTTAAAGTGAGAAGAGGCTGCACGAATTACGTTTTTATTGGAAATTTCCAATAAAACAGCTGTCAAAAACACAAAAATTAAAAGAAGAAAACAAAGATTGCCGAACAAATTTATAAACGAAGAATAAATAAACAAAAAATATAGAAATTAAATGAAAATTGTTCGAAAAATTATCCCACTAAATTTGCCCTTGGCAAATTCTAAGTTTATGTCCACGTACTTTTTTAGCATTTGCTTCTGTATATCCGAAATTCCTCATATTTTCTAAAAATTAGTGAACAATATTTATTTTAATCTTAAATAATTATAAATATAACATTACTTTTTCATTGTTTCATATAATTCATGTTTAAATTATATTTTATTTACTTAAAAATTTCCTTTCCGCACCGTTTTAAAATGTGAGTTTCGACTTGTGAAAATGTATAAATACTTTTGAAAAAAAAAAAAATAATAATAATTTGCATAAATAATTTTGAATACTGAGGTTGTTGACTTCTTTTTGGATTTTTACCAAGAGCCACCAATTTTTTTTTCAAAAAAGTTTCAACTAGCTCAATTTATACACTTTAAGGAATAGTAGCAGGAATGATTTTTTATTGCAAAATTACAAATTAAGTATCAGAATTTGCTTTTAGTTCGAAGCATACTTAAATTTGCATATATGACTATGGCTGTATAAATCATTCTACCAATTTTTTTCCCAGATCGGTCCATTATTGGACCGATCACATATTTCATTGTCAAATAAAGCTATCTTGATAAAATTCAACACAAATAAGTTTTTTCTTTATTTATATGAATCACTCTACGAATTTTTGTTCGGATAGGCCCGTAACTGGTCATAACTCCCACATAAGGGCCACTTCCGAAAATCACTTAAATATTCATGAAATAATTGCAAAAAGTTCATTATTTACTATTTGGTTTCCATATTTAGTCTATAATAAACCTATATTAGGGAATTTTGTATAATAAAAAATATAAATTTAAATGTTGAAAAACAAAATCTAAACCAGGAAATCATCAGCAAACATAGATCAAGTTCACACGGAGCAGTTGAATTACTTAATTCGGCCTCTGAATGACAATAGCCAATTAACCCGTTTCTACGACACATTCGTAATTCGTTTTGACAGTTCATCGCCATGTTGATTTCTTCATTCATTATTTTGTAATTTTTTGGAATATTCGTGTGCGTGTATGATACAAAAATACGTTTATTACATTAAATAATAGCGTAAACTCTGCTGTCAAGGACCTAAGTCTGTTGTCAAAAACCTAAGTCGTCTGAATGTAATAGTAGAACAACTTATGTTAGTATTAGTATATTCCCCATATTTGAAATAACCCAACAAACACAAAATCAAACATTTGAAAAATGTTATTAATTTAATTTAATGTTAAATATTAAGGGTTCTTTAAAAAGAGAAATTGATTTAACGTTTACATTCGATTTAGGGTTTTAAAATTTAAAAATTGTTTTATTTGCAATCTTTCTCGACTTTACATGAACCCTCTGTGTTTGCTGGGTAAGGACATTTCAATTTATTATTCTGACATTTTCACCACAATCATTTTTTATTTATTTTTAAAATTTTACATAACTTCGGCAAAATAAACAGATTTAGGTGACCCAAATTCAAGAGAAAACACTTGACATATTCTTACGAGTATATGGGTGTTGCGAGGTCCATATATCCTTGATTCATTCTGTAACTTATTCCTTTGACACCAACTCTTCCCTATCTTGGTGTTGTTGCAATCCGGTTTGCCGGGACTATAAACTGGTAATGTTAAGTGTATCCTCGGGCATTCCTTGAAATTATTTGAACAGGGGCCGAAACAGGGAGCCTTATAATTTGATTCCACGGGGCTTAGTTTCCATCTTTGTCTTGTCCCGGTTATTGGAGTGTTGCCTTCGGGATGTACGTGGTGGTTGCGGTTTAAACCATACTCGCGAGAATATTGGTTAAAAGGCTGGTGCACGATAAAGTCTATAATTCGGGATAAGTTCGTTGCTGTAGCTGAGACAGATACCACGAAGAGCTTTGGAAATGAGTTGGTGTCAAATGTATATCATACGGAATGGATGTAGAGTTAAACGGACCTTACCCACTCATATGTTATTCTCAATGAGTGTGTCGGTGTGGTGATGTCTGAAAAGTATCTTATAAATGTGATACCAATGAATTTGCCTTCCATGTCAGGGTATATTTAGGTTTTACTCTGTCCATACCAGACACCACAGTGTCTGTGAGTAAGAACAATGTCTTTGGCTTATTTGATGGATTCGTATTTTGATTCATCGATTACGTCTCTAGGTGCTATTGCCAATTCCAACCTTCGTGGTTGTAAACTGAAGTGATGTTTTTGCATCTCAGAAGTTAAGCAATGGTCAGAGATTAGGTAGCTTGAGTACATGAGCAAAGTGTAAGAAGCACAAAGGGGCGGTGGTGAGTCGTCTAACAAGCTCATCCAGTGGTCGCATAAGGCGAACACGACAGGTGTTCACGTAAAGCATATTCACTTATGTATCTGTTGTCTTTTCGGTAACAGCACCGAACTTATCCAGAAATATAGATTTAACTCGCAATTTTGTATTTAAACCACAGCCATCCCGAAGGGACCTCTGCAATAACCGGGACAAGACAAAAAATGGCAATCCAGACGAGTACGGGAACATACATACAGATTATAATTTTGATTTTTCTTATATAAAATTAAAAATATTTAATTTATTAACATTCAATTTGACAAATGACTGTGGGGAAATCTAACAGGTGGTATGGTAGCCTACTTTATGTTTTAAAAGAAATTTTGACAGGTTTCCTCTCCTCTCTATGTTTCTTTATGGTTTAAGTTGTATATTTTCTATTTATTTGCATTTTTTGTAATCTTATTTTTTATTTGTCTCCAACCAATGAAAACAAATTGATTATGAATAAGCTGATTATGATAAATATCCGATAAAAATTAGAGATGACACTCATTCATTCGTAATTCGTACGTAATTCAAACTGATTGTCAATATTTATGCTGAAACTTTTTTCTGTGTACTAAAAAAATTCTAATTTATTCTAAATTCAGTAGATTTGTGGTGAAAATAGTAGTAAGAAACTATAAATGGTGATACAAAGGAAATTTAATAGGTCGATTATACTAGGTTCGGGACGAAAATGTGTCAGCCATGAAAAACTAAGAAATAAAAAATTTCGAGATATTTTCGTAAAGGGATCAAAATTTTAAAATTTATATCGAGAAGTGTCTTGAAAGCCCATAGAATGTTTTGTTCAATAATACCGTCGATCTGTGCTAATTTTAAAATAATCTCTTAGAGCAGGCTATAGATGATGGTGGTACAAAGGAAAATTAATAGGTCGATTATACTAGGTTCGGGACGAAAATGTGTCAGCCATGAAAAACTGAAATTTCGAGATGTTTTCGTAAAGGGATCAAAATTTAAAAATTTAATTTTTAATTAATCTCTTAGAGCAGGTTTAACGAACATTTTTTAAATTAAAATCAATCAAGTGTAAATAAATTTCTTTGCAGGAAATTGTAAAATGGATTGAAATATTTAACTAAGTTTAAACTAAGTTGACAACGCTGTAAGGCAGACTTTATATGTTCTATTAAAAATTGTGTTTTTTTCTTTTATATGGTTCTTTAAGTATGACTAAATAATAACCTATTGTTTTGGCCGTTTTATTGGTCGTATTTATTTCTGACATTCTTTTATTATTGTTATTTTTCAGAGATGAATTGAATGAAATTTATGAATTAAATTATATACATTATACATGTGTAGAACTTTTGATTTTTTTCAATACTAATTATTTTACTACAATAACATCAATTTCTATTCAGAAACCGGTTATATATACATACATACATACATACATACATACATACATACTTATAACGATATTATACATACATATATACATTAGACCGACTCACAAAAAATGGTGCTCGAGTTTCGTTTTTAAATATATATACATACATATATACATAAATATATGTTATATACATATAAATTGTTATTAAAATAAATGTTAAAAACCCCAAATTTGTTAGGTTTAGTTCTTGAGCTGGATCGTTTTCAAAAATTAGCCCAAAAAGGACATGATTTTATATATTTCACTCAAAAATTTAGTTTAAAAAAAGTAATGATTTAAAAATTAATTTAGTTATGTAAATTTTTAAGCGTACCATTTTATTTCAGTCCGTAGCAATAACATGAACAACTATTATCGGTTTGGGTACTATACATATGTACATACTATATGATATTAAAAATAGACTGCTACTATGAACTAGATACGTACTATATATTAAACGGTTTTAGAATATTTTTTCTGGGTCATACAAATTTGAAGAGAAAACAAAACAAAACGATTTACTATAAATGGGACTCCGGTATTCAGATTAAGTTTATTAAGTAAACAGAATGCAGATAGTCTTTATAGTAATTTTAACAGGTTAGTATTTTAGTTAAATATATTATTTTTTATTATTTTATTATAAACAAAATACATATGATTTTAGCAACCTGGCTTAAAGCAGGCGAAACCTCACCAGGATATTACGACGATGATTACGACGATAACTATTATCATCATGGTTCTGGATATGGTAGATATTCTTCGTGCTCATGTCCTCCGGGACCACCGGGTCCACCTGGAGATGCAGGGCGGCCTGGAGCTCCCGGTTATCCAGGAGAAAAGGGTGATACCGGCTACTACGGACAACCAGGGCGTCCAGGAAAACCTGGTCCTAGTGGACTACCTGGTAATACAGGACCACCAGGTAGACCTGGACGCCCGGGATATCCTGGGCCGCAAGGTCCTCCAGGATATGGTCATTATCACCACTAGATATAATTTAGCAATATAATAAACATACATAATATGTGATCTATATTTTATAAAAAAAAACATTTATTTTAGAGTAGAAAATTAGAGTAGAAAATAAATTAAAATAAAAAATACAAAATAAATATTTCGTTTTTAATAATGAACGTTGTCCTTCCATAATCTAAGATCCAGTTGTGGAAAAGCTTTGCAATTTATTAAATTATTTCTGAAAAAATAAAAGAAATTAATTTTTAAAATAAATTCATTTTATAACAAATTTGATGCCTCCAATATACATACAGTTAATCACAAAAATAAGTATACAGAAATACTGACGATTGGTTTTATTTAAAAAAACATATTACTTTTTCAAAAAACAAGAAAGTAACACATTTATTTATTAAAAACAATTATGATAATTATTATTCACTACTTTTTTTCTTCATATATTGGTTCTTTGAGTTCTCATTTAAGCTAAAGTTAAAAAGGTGCAAAATTTACGTCACAAAAGTAAGTATACAGATCATTTCAGTATATATTTGGTTTAATGATATTAACAAAATTTATGAAAATTTTACTTGTATTAATATAATTACTTTTTAATAAAATATTTTTTACACAATAACTTGGAAAAAATCTACTTTTAGTTCCGAAATCTTGAAATTTGGACCGATTGGCTCCGGAATTAATTAGTAGAACAGTTTTTTCTCATTTCTACGATTTTTTTTCCACTTTAGAATTTTTAACTTTTGAAAAGAGTTGTTATTTCGAAATTAATGTTATATGCATGGATTTGGCCATTTTGAATTTTTAACTTTTGAAAAGAGTTGTTATTTCGAAATTAATGTTATATGCATGGATTTGGCCATTTTGAACACACTACGTTCTTAAAAACCCGAAATTTAACTCCGATTTCTTAAGACTTACAACATAAACTTTAAAATTTGGATAATTCTATATATTTTCTTTAATTTAAACAGGTTTTCCAAATACTCCGATTTCCAAAGCATACAATAATGCTACCAATCATATCTTGATATACTCGATACAATAACCATGTTTTATGGATCGGACATTTTATTTGTTCTAGCAACAAATTAAGATGTATCCGTGTTCAAAATAGTTCAATTCGTATTCATACCACCAATTGAGCCTGATTTAATATAAAAATCTTACTATTTTGGACAATAATCAATTTCAGAACCGATATGTAGTGTAAGTTATTGACATGGTCACCATTTGACGATTATTGGTAGTATTTAGGAGTGTGTAATGGATGATTGGAACCAAAAAACTTGTTTTAATTAATGGATACTAGTGCAAATATTATTAATATCGCATTTTAAGACATAAATTTTAGGAAATCGCCGTTAAATATCGAATATGTACGCCATACTATGTTAAAAACGGCAATGTTCCGCAATGGATTGTAATTATTGTAAAGAAACAATTAATTTAAAAGTTAAAATATCGTCTTCCAATGCATCATAATGATCAAACGAGGGATATTATTGAATACCCGATCCAAAACTCCGGGGGTTTAAATAGTCAGATGTTCTTAAATAGGAAAAAAATTTAAATTTTTCGGAACAAAAAGTGAATTTTTCATGGTATAGTGTACAGAATATTTTATTATAAAATAATTACATTCAAACAGGTAAAATTTTCATGAATTTTGTTAATATCATTAAGCCAAATACATATTGAAATTATCTGTATACTTACTTTTGTGACGTAAATTTTGTACCTATTTAACTACACCTTAAATGAGAACTCAAGTAACCAAAATAACCCGGAAAAAAGCAGTGAATAATAATTATCATAATTGTTTTTAATAAATAAATATGTTACTTTTTTGATTTTTGAAAAAGTAATATGTTTTTTTTAAATAAAACCAATTGTCAGTATTTCTGTATACTTATTTTTGAGATTAACTGTATGTACATAAACTGTGCTAAGTCTACTCAGTACTCTTTGAAAGCCAACTTTCTTGACATTAATATTGGTAAATATGTATACTTATTGGCATAAAGAAGTGAGCCTAACTTAGCATCGCAGCAAAACAATTTTGAATTAACCTTTTTCATTTAATTTTTTGCAGGGATGGTATAGATTGGAGGTGTCGAATTAATGAAAATATAACTTACTGGTGATTGGGAAAGATAAAAACATTTGGTTGGATACATTGCAAATTGTTTCCATTAGCACAGACAATACTTGCAAAACTAATTTTTCGTATTTCAGCCAGTTGATCTGTGAGAGAGAGATTACTTTAAATTAATAACATCAAAGACAAGCAAGTATTGAAAATTATTCCTATAGATACACTACATAATATGTAGTGTTGTAATGTTGTATATTATACAACATTACAACACTTTGAAAATATTTTCATATGCATTCGGCTGTGCCGAATCTCATATACCCACCATCAAACCGTATGCCTTAAAAGGAATGCTCCCCTATAAACATAATAGTGATATTACTCATCAAATTAACTGAAGAGGACCTTATATGAGAGATAGGGTTAATAGTTGACCGTTTTTCATAATTTGTTTTTAGACCAATTTTGGTTCATACAAAACATCTCTACATCGAATATCACTTCCCTACACTTTCCGCATCAAATTGGGTAGGAAGATTTACGTTCCTATAAATGTTTCTTATAGCGGATAGGGTACCATTTTAATTTATGATCAATAAAGGAGCATGTGTATATGATCATTTTAATTGAGCAGAAGAGTCATAAATGACTCGAATGTGATCAAAATTTAAAAAAATGCTAGCTGGGAGCATTCTTTCATTTCTGATGTACAAACAACACACACATTCTCTCTTCTTCTCATCTCACTCTCTCCCTGTTTTACTCATTCCTCGTCCTCTCTTACTCCCTTCTCTCCCACTTTTTCTTTCTTCCTTTCCGAATGCTTACCAGACTGGTTACCAGTGGTGAAAAAATGGTCAAATATAGACCGATACTCATAAAAATTAGTGTAGCGATTTAAGTTCTTTTAAGTTTTGGCTATATAAAATTTCCCAGCTATATTGATATGTTTAAGGCATTTATGAGCATTATGATAATTTCTGAAGGGGACCTTATATTGTGGCTAGGAACAAATAAAGCGCGATGTCCGCATTTCTTTACTATATAATTTTTGAAAAAAAAAATAACTTGCTCCAAATTTGATAATAAATACTACCTATTCGACATATTTATTTCTGTATAATCTGTTTTCTGAGGAGCCACTTGAGAAATCGTGAACCTACGCTTACTAAATTATATACAGCAAAACATTTGTGTAAATTTTAATTAATAACTATCTTCAAAATAGAACCTGTACGTATTGAAAAAAAAAATATAAGAAAATGTGCTAAGTTCAGCAAAAAATAAAAATTCAGAAAAAGAAAACGTGCTATGTCCTAAAATCCCGCAATAAGAATTCAGCATTATTTTTAAATTGTTTCACAACTGATTAAAACAAGTGAGAGTCTTATATTCGGCATATACCCACCATCAAACCGTATGCCTTAAAAGGAATGCTCCCCTATTAACATAATGGTGATATTACTCATCAAATTAACTGAAGAGGATGTTATATGAGAGATAGGGTTAATAATTGACCGTTTTTACATCGAATATCACTTCCCGACACTTTCCGCATGAAATTCGGTAGGAAGATTTACGTTCCTATAAATGTTTTCTTATATAAAATTTCATAACTGTTCAAGTATTTTTAAGTCAGCAAAGTTCGTCAAAGTAATTTTCTTATGGACCGATCCTCAATACATTTGGTAGAGATGTTTTAACTCGTATTAAAAATATGTGTGTAGAATTTCATCGCTTTTCTGTATTCTGTATTTTTAAGCCAGTAATGATCGTTTAAGTAATTTTTTGAAGGGCACCTTATACGGGGGAGTAGGGACAATTATGGACCGATCCACATAAAGTTTGATAGAGAGATATTGGCTTCATTGAAACTTATGTGTGTTGAATTTCATCACTATACTCGTATTTTTAAGCCAGTAATGAGCGTTAAAGTCATTTTCTGATAGGGAACTTATATGGGGGTAAGGTCAATTATGAACCGATCAACATAAAATTTGGTAGAGAGGTTTTGGATCATAAGAGACTTACTTATGTCAAATTTCTTTGTTATACTAGTATATTTAAGCCAGTAATGAGCGTTAAACTAATTTTCTGAAGAGGGCTTATATGGGGGTAGAGTCATATGGACCAATCCTCATAAAATTTGGTAGGGAGATTTTGGATCATATGAAACTTATTTATGTCTAATTTCATCGCTATAATCGTACATTTGAAATAGATATGCCCATTAAAGCTGTTTTTCGGGGGTCCTCTTGTATGGGGGCTATCCGAAAACGTGGACCGATATTGCCCATTTTCAATACCAAACAATACCTATAGAGAATATTTGTGGAAAATTTCAATCCTCTATCTAGTTCTGTTCGGACTCTATCGTGCTTTTAACAGACAGACGGACGGACAGACATGGCTAGATCGTCTTAGAATTCAATAAGGACCCAGAATATATATACTTTTGTGGGTCTATGACCAATATTTCGATGTGTTACAAACGGAATGACAAAATCAATATACCCCCATCTTTTTTGATGGTGGGTATAAAAATTAAACTGCTTCAATAATAAATATTATTAAGTAACCACTTTAATAATAAGTATTATTAAATAACCACTTTAATAATAAGTATTATTGTAATATTTTTCTTAAAGGTGAAATGGTTTTTAGTCGTGGTAATAGCTTTTATGGAAATGCCCATATATCTTAAGTTAAACAACTTAAAAAATGATTATCCATTTAGTAAACTGTTTTGCGATTTAATATGAACATACAAAATATTAAATTTACCTCTAGTGAATCCGGAATTTTTATCTTCGTGTTCGAAGAAGAAGCGGTCAGCTGCACGTATTTTAAAAAATTGTTTCCCAATAATACATTGAAATGTTGGACCTAGCATTGAATCTCCAGAGTGATTTTCATATGAACCGCCAATAGTCAAATCTATGTCATTCGGTGATGAATAAAACTTTTTCAGTAATTCAATTTTCTAAAATAAATTAAAACGAAAGATATGTATATTAGAAAAAAATGACCCGTTGGTGTACATTTAAAATGGACAAACTTTGTGTTTGTACCCTATAAAGAATTGCATCATAACATTTACGTTTGCTTCGGAATTTCATTTGTATATATTACGTACCTCTTCTGAAATTTCATTTAAGAAATCTGACCACTGATACGCTCTTGCTAGGCCACATTGTTCTCTATAATCATTGTAACTAGGTAAACCGTAATCTCGACCTCGCTGAATATCTATAGCTTTTAGGTCAGTGCCGAATTCATCGAAAGATTTACGATCGAAATGATGTTTGACCTGCGATTAAGAATTTAATAATGAATTGAAAACCAAAAACTAATATAGATTCAAACCTCTCTGTCTACATTGCCATCAGCACGTTTCTCTAGTTGTGTTGCTAAACCACGTATAAGAGAATCGAAGTTGTTTCCTTCCATTAGAAGCTTCATAGAATCTTGACGGTCGAAATAGTCACTCAAGCGCATAGTTTGATTACTATTTCGTCCGGAGGAAACCATTCTAAAAACAATAACATACATAATAAGATACAAACTGTATGTTATTTAAAGTGAAAAAAATCATTTCTTACGAAAACCATCCAGGAATTGATTGATGTATATAACGAAATGCTGCGGCAGCATATTCGGCAAATGGTGCTGGATCCAAATTTCGATCATAATCATTTACATATTCATAAGGCGAAACCGAATATATCAAACGATTAGCAAAACTATACATGGGACCTAAAATGAGCGGCAACCAATCGTAGAAGGTAATCTTTTGATATTGAGCTATATTAATTTTTCGTGCCACTTGGAAAATTCTTTCATCTGAATAATGAGGGTTTATTCGAGACAAAATTTTCGCTAATCTATTGTGCTCTCTGACAAATATCGTTTGCAGAACAGCAATTATTGGTGTAAATTGATTTCGATTATCGGGTATGCTATAACATTGCTCGTTATTTGCCGGACATTCGCCATTTGAGCTGGATTGAACGGGTAAAAATGGTTTACTGTTATACAAACTGGTTTTCAGCAAGCCACCTTTGTACTGGCGCACTTTTATGTTCTGCTCCAATGAATTTCCATAAACTGATGATAGATCCAAGAAGGCTGTAGTTGTTGTAATCTTCTCCGCATAAGGCAAACCGCTGGGTGCACAGGCAATATCTTTATCAGATAAACTACGGGCAAAGCTAAGACATGTCTTTCCCGAGGTCATTGCAATCGGGCCAAAAGGATGTAAAGGTATCGAATAACACATTTTGTGCTTCGGATTTGCGCAGCAGTCATCTAAAATTATAGAAAGCATGACTTTTTATATTTTATACGAAATGATATCCATTGGTTATCCATATATACATAATTTGAATTTATGTATGTATTTACAAAGCCATTTGGCCTTACGTTAACGAGCTATGCGAAAGGTTAATTTCTACTTTTTACGTAGAAAAACGACTAATAAACTGGAGAAAATTTTTTAATGCTGTAAAAAATCAAATTTCCTTGCCTGAATTGTTCGATATTTGGCATTTTTTTATAACACTTAGTAAATACGTATCCAAAATAAAAATGTGTACGAAACAATAGAAGTCCGAACTAAGGCAAAATGATTTAAAATTAAATAATGTATATTAACTATAAAAATTTATAATTTACTAATATTATTTTAACACGACTTAAGTTAAAAATTTTAAACATTTTTAAAATTGTTTTTTAAAACCACTTTCAGTTGTTGAAATAAATTGAAATTTTTTGTAATTATTGATTTTTGTTACCGTTTTTATCAAAACCTTCACGGCTTTAAATTATCTACGAAATTTGACATAATTCTAAATAACTTTTTAAATAAATCATAGGATTTAACAAATTAAACTCGATTTAATTAAAAATATTTCTAATAATTAATATATTTCTAATCCGAATTTAAAAAGGTTTTATAGTTTAACCATAAGGGAAGAAATTGTAACTTAAATTTAATTGTTTAACTTAACGAGAATTATAAAGCCCAGCCTAAACTAAATCTTTATTTATAAAATATGTGCGATTACATATCAAAAATTAACTAATAACAAAAAATTAGACATTTTTGAAAATATATAATGAAATATTTTAAAACGGCCCATATTTTGTAATACATAGTTCAAAACCGAGTTTTTGAGTTATGCCTGTCTTGTAGTAAATGTATTGATAATTAATATTACTTACCCGGTAATCCCTCGCTATATAACTGACTGATGTCGTGGGCAACAAATTGACCAAATTGCATTGTTAATAATGTACGATAACTATCCGATAACGTATCCTCCCCATATAGTGATAACGATAAAACGCGGGGATTTGGTAGAGCATGGCCAGATGAAGATTTGCTAGGAGCATATTGACCATCACCATATTTTGGTCTTAAAATACGTGAGTACCTTGACTTTGCAATACCATAGCCGGGAAATTGGAAATTGTTACAGGAACCATCATACGTTCGAAAATAGTAGTTGCTAGTGTCATTGAAACATGATATGGGAGGCACAGCACATTCTAATTCCGCCGTTTTCATTGCCCCCAAATAGGAACTGTACAAATTGTCTAATGTTTGATCCCCATAAATTCCACCAAATACATCCTTTTTTATATTATTAGAGCGAAATGAGTTTTGCAGCAAGGATTCTATTGCCATGGCCGATAGACCAGATTCTGGAACTGGCTTTACTATATTTAACTGGCTATTTTGTCCTGGCATTAAATCCTTCATACCTAATTCGGATAAAGTATTTCTAGCGGCCAATGCCGTTAGAGCCTCTACACTTAATGTACCCGGGTCATTCCAATGAGAGTATGGGCTATTTAATAATGGAAATAATTAAAAAGATATATTATCTGCATACATACATACATATTAAGTATGTATATTCATGTGATAATTTTTAAACAGTTTTCTTACCATCTAAATTGATTACTTAATTTAGCTTCAGTTATAATGGTTAAGATCAATACTTTGAAACGAAATGTGCAAAACTTCATTATTTCGTTAGAGGTTAGTGAGAGTCCGATACTTTCGATTGAATTAAATTTTTAACACTACAAAATTTCATTGTTTTGAACATTTATTTATATATTAAGATATTTGTATATTATCAAAGAATCTTTTATCAATTAAACAGTATTCATTTCGTGGGTAAATGCAACTCATAATTTCCACAATAATCACGTTCCAAATCTATGCGGAAAATAACACACATTAGCGGCACACTTCTTAAAGTCAAATAATAAAGACACACACCATGTGTTGATAAGTAGTTCTTAATCTAATTTATAATTAATTAACATACACACCTACATACACGTAATAAAAGCATTAAAATTTTAAATACATACACTATTATATGCAACACAAGCAACTTTTAACGACAGTGTAACCAAAATCATATTCCAATAAGCATTTTTGCTAGAATTCAAGATAATACATTCATTTAACACAATGATTTTTTTACCAACAAACATTTTTTATTCCATGAAAAAGAGCGCACAACAGGCCCGATAGTGGCCTAGGTGTAAAACAATTTGAAATCTAGTCGTATATTAAAATTACAATATAAGTACATATGTATGAAATGCTCTGATACATCGTCGTAATTCAATAGCATTCTCCAGTGAAAAGGATACTTGAATTCAAGTCGAACATCACAGATAAATTAAATTACAATTCAATATATCGTCACCTGAAACGCAAACGGCCCTAACTAATCAAAAGTTCAATGTATGCATCAAATGTCCACAACAAAAATTGGACTCCTCCGAACATATTTAATGATTTTATTGACAAAAAACAAAACTTTTCAAACAAACTTTTCAATTTAAATAGTGTTTTGATTCTCCTGTAAAATTTTAAAAATGTTAGATAATTACATACATTAGAGGTGTCCAAAAAATCGATTTTGCTCAGATGGGTCTTATTTTGTTTATTAGTGTCTAAAACTTACTATTGTTAAATTTTAGTCAAATCGGATAATGATAACCCGTGCCGGAAATCGATTGAAAAGAATAAAATTGGGTAAAAAATACGACTTTTAATTTCTTAAAAAATTTTGCCATTAAAATTATACATATGTACATATATTCTTTACATTTCGAACAATATTTTAGAGAAAAATATCTTTCCAACAACCCCCCAGCAAAAACTCGGTAATGGGTTGTACTTCCATTACCACTTACTTTTCAATGACTACTACTTACCGTCTGCATTACTTAGAAGTACTCTAGTAATGACTTTCTTATAATCTGATATAGAAGTACTTTATTTTCGGCTTTGTCATTTTGTTTGCACATTTTATTTAATTGCGTTTTAAGAATTGTGTTTTACAAAAAATAAAACAAAATTAGTTTTGTATGTGATAAAACCATTATTTGACGCGCAATAAAATAGCTAAGCAGTGGTGCAGTGTGTAGAGCATTTGACTAACAAACCGAAGTCCCTGGTTCGTATTCTAGCTGGCTCTTTTTATTATTAAAAAACGAAACAACTTACTCAACAACTGTTTTGTAAGAGAAATTGAAAGTACTTCTTTAACTCCCTATTTGTAAGCGCGCGTAGAAGTACTTGCCACCAATGACATCACCGTGTTAAAATAATGACTTAAATTGCTAATGAAGAAGTAGTGAAAAGAGGTTTTATTAGCTTTTTAACTCATTACTTTTCAATGTAAGTTTTTCCTGGGCCACTAAACAATGACCGACAGTTCGTTCAAAAGTCTGATCAAATATAAGAAAGTCTAATAGATGTCCGATAAATGTCCGACAATCTTTCAAAGTTTAATACTTCAGAAAATGTGCAAAAATCTAACAAAAAGTTTGCCGATTATTCTGTAAAAGTCTAAGAAATATTTCACAAAATTTTGACATCAGACATGGCCGAAAAAAATTGTTTACTAAGAAGGTATAAAATATAAATAAATAACTAAGTTATAGGCATTTTCTTTTCATAAATACATGTGTAGCAAAAACATATTCGTTCTTTTTTGAGAAAATATTTTTGTTTACATCACATCAGCTTACAAAACAATGTAAAAAATACATGATTTTTTGTCAATAACTTTGGGAAATTGTCAATAACTTTGTGTTTGTCCTATGATATAGCGTTTTTAATAAATGTTTTCTATTTTAATGTTTATTTAACAAAGGTTTTTTATTTAATAAATTCAAAATGATTTTTTTTATAAAACGAGTTAATAAAAAAAACAAAAGTATTTAATTAAAAACAAATGACGTCACTACGATATATATGTACATTAGAGTGATTCAAGCTTGTATGAAGGAAAAAATTTAAAAAGTATTTAAAAATCAGACTTTAAGAAATTGTCACTTATGACTACTTTTTAAAAAGTGCTTTTTAACAACGTTTAAAAAACAGCTTCATTTAATGGCCAAAAAAATTGTATTTTAGGAGATCGGACTATGCAGATTTAAATTGTATTGTATTGAAAGAAGTTTAAGAAGACATTTTACAAAAAAATATTGGTGGTACTTTTTTGAGACTGTTTTTCGAATGTCGAATATATTCGACATTTAACTTTGACCTTCTATAACTCACTAGGGAAAACTCAAATTCAAAAAATATTATTTTTCCCGGATTCAGCATACTCAAATTATCTTAAATATAAGTTTTCAAGTTTTTTTCTAGACATAAATTATTTTTGACCGTAAAAGGGTTAAATTATTCCCAAGTGCCTTAAAGGGTTAATCTACCTTTTTCACTCTACATATTTTAAATATCGGACTATATATGATAAATTCCAGTCATTTTTGGTAAATATGGCCGACAAATAAATATTATTTCACTAAAAATTCCCAAATATTGCAAAATTTTACCTTTGAACTCCACAGTTTATGGGTTAAGAATGTCCGATTTTAATAAAACTTCGGATATATATTTTGTATTATCTAGACTATAATACTCTGATAATACTTTATTTAAAATGTGCAACAGTAAAGAATTAATACGTATTCTCTATAATATTATAAAAAATGCGATTTTCCCGAAATCCGCCGAGTTCAAATCGCAGGTACATCTAAGCTGTAAGAAATATTGATCTATTTTTTTTTTACCAATTTTACACTTTTCAATCGATTTCCGGCACGGGTTCCCATTTTTGATTCGACTAAAATTTAACACCAGTCAGTTTTAGATACTAATAAGCTAATGAGAAAAATCGATATTTTTTGGAACCTCTATTATATGTAAATTAGAGATATAACTATAGCCATTTGTTGCTAATATGATAATTGGCATAGCATAGTCGAATAGAGCATTAAAAAATATGAAAAACCACTATATTATTTTTTCACGTTTTTATGATTAATAGTAACTGCGGACATACTTCAAAATAAAATTTTAAATAAGGGAAGTATCACCCACAATTGCAAAAAAAGTTGCAAATAATTTATGTAATGACTAATTTATCATCGCTCAGTCCAAACCGTTAAAGTTAGAATCATAAATTTTTGGTACTAAGTTTCTTTGGCATTGTATAGATTAGACCAATTTGTTTGGAAGTATTTGCCATTAATTAATTTTAACATAACTTACGCGTTTAATTCAAATGAGCTGTTTTTATACCCTCCACCACCATCAGTGGTGATAGAGGGTATATATAACTTTGTCATTCCGTGTGTAACACCAAGAAATATTCATCTGAGACTCAACAAAGTATATATATTCTGGGTCCTTATCAAATTCTGAGTCGATTTAGCTATGTCCGTCTGTCCGTCTGTCTGTGTAAAACACGCTCACGATAAAACGAAGCAATAGAGTTTAACCAAATTCACCCAAAATGTTCTTCATTTTCCTAAGTTGTTTGGTATTGAAAATGGGCAAAATCGGTTCACACCGGGAAAAGTTATGAATCAAAATTTGAAACAACCTCGAAAAAAATAAGCATTTTTTACACATTCTGATGTAATTTTCTCGAAAACTATGCAAGATAATTCCATGAAAATTACCATACATTCGTTTCTACACAAGATCTTGATCCCTGCTGAAAAGTATTGCTAGAATCGGTCCACAATTTCATATACCTCCCATACAAAAGTACATATTCCCGGAAAATGGGTTTTTTGTTAATAACTTCCGTCACAATGTCGATATCTTCACAAAATTTTACAAATTAAAATCTTATGTCAATAGAATTCATTCAGAGAAAAAATTTTCTGTATCGGTCCATAATTGGACATAGCTCCCATACAAGGTCCCCTCCCGAAAATCACTTAAACGCGCATAACTCATTACTTAACTAAGATATCTATATAAGATTTGGTGCAAGTATTGCTTATCTATACAGAAATATTACTCAGAAAGTTTTTTCCGATCGGTCCATAATTGGTCATAGCTCCCATACAAGGTCACCCCTCCCGAAACTCACTTAAACGCACATAACTCATTACAAAATAAGATATCCATATAAAATTTGGTAGAAGTATTGCCCGTATGCACAAAAATATTACTGTGAAATTTTTTTCCGATAGGTCCATAATTGGTCATAGCTCCCATACAAGGTCCCCTCCCGAAAATCACTTAAACCACATAACTCATTACTTAATTAAGATATCCATATAAAATTTGGTACAAATATTACTCATATGTACAGAAATATTACTAAGAAATTTTTTCCGATCGGTCCATAATTGGTCATAGCTCCCATACAAGGTCCCCTGCCGAAAATCACTTAAACGCACATAACTCATTACTAAATTAAGATATCCATATAAAGTTTGGTACAAGTATTGCCTATATACACAGAAATATTACTGTGAAATTGTTTTCCGATCGGTCTATAACTAGTCATAGCTCCCATACAAGGTCTCCACTTAAACGTACATAACTCATTACTAAATTAAGATATCCATATAAAGTTTGGAACAAGTATTGCTTATGTGCACAGAAATATTACTGAGAGATTTTTTTCCGATCGGTCCATAACTGGTCATAGCTCCCATACAAGGTCCCCTACCGAAAATCACTTAAACGC